CTCTGAAAACGGACCGAGCTTGGTCCAAAACTCAGATGTCCTGATTAAAGACCATTTTATGCGTTGTCTTTCCGTTTGTGACTTACCTGAAGATATTAAATTTTCAAGACAGAAAAGCAGTACGGCCTTCTTTGTTTTACACCGTACTGCTTAAGGTCACCACTCAAACGGGTCACAACACTATGGTATTTAAGCGCCTGCAGTGCACTGGAAGCAAAACTGTACCTCTTAGTTGAGATAAACAGGAGTATGTCAGCGCACCAACGAAATTTGCCACTATTCATGGACAAATATAGAAAAAACAATAGTGCAGAGTTATTGTTAATGGTAGGAATGCTGGTGTTTCCTATACATCCATGTCTATTATGTGCGAAGTTTGTAGAGATTAGTTCGAAATACGTCGCTGACTGTAGTTGGCACTTAACTGCTAGTCAGATTTTTTCCCTCCCATCCAAAAGAGGAGAAATGAATACGGTAATTGTGAATAACTTAGACATGCAGCTCATAGATCTTGCGTGTGTTCTCTATGTTGTTTCTTTTTCGGTCATTTTATCTGACTTTGATTGGTAGTGATATGAACAGGGATGATAGCAGCCATGGTTAAAACAAACCGCATAGTTCCGCGTTGTTCCGCTACGTGATGGAGATGGTATTTTAATAAGCAGCGAGATACAGTGGTATTTCTGCATATGCATGATATGCAAGCTGCCATGTGCAAGGCACATTCTATTTGATAAACTGCATACATGATGGAATGACTGCGCTGTGCCTCTTCACTGAAACATTTAAACCATGGTTCCCTCGAAGCCTCTATTCACAGTATTCTTCGCTAAGGGAAATTACCAGACCATGTTTATGCTCAAAATATATTTCGCTTAACGAATAGTCATAAGGAGATGTGCCTATCCTCAATTACCGTAAACTCGTTCGCCAGTTGTTCCTTCACGACTGTCGTAGTCACCGGACATGCTAATGCAGTCGGCATGTTTCTACATTATTTACGACCTATGATTGTTCGCTTGGCAAAACATCGATTACTCCATTAGACATATGGCGGTGAAATCTTATCATCTATTCTGATTTTTGAAAATAACATGTGCCAAACAGAGTACCAAAGTTTTTGTGGAAAGTTACGGCTCCTCTGAATGCAGATGGGTTTCGGGTCGGAAAGATAATTGATAAAACAGGACAGGACAATTGTTCTCACTGTGTGTTCCATTGAAATACGTCATATGTCGTCGTATTGTTTACTTGAGTCTTATTCCAGCTCAACGAGAAAACTACGGCTCCCAGCAACAAATGAAATGCCAATAGATCTGATAATTACGAAGGACCACAACTAAAAACTAAATATCTTTCATTAACCGTGGGAAAATACTAACTATGTAATCTGAAACCTAACATTTGTGAATAAACTGAGTTTCTCAACTTATTATGTCCATCTGGAAGAGTCTGGTAGAAGACTTTGCACTTCACCACATTGGCGATAAGACCCACGGGAAGAATTCAGACAAACGGTTTCCCAGTTGATCCGACTGATTCGAAACAAATTGCTCGTTTTTTCAACTAGACACAACTGTAAAGGTGACCTCATTTACGACTAGAGGTAGTCCAAATGGACAGACATTCCTCCAAGTTCAAGCAACTCCGTGAAAGACTTCAGGTCTTATCATTCCCTCCTAACTTGAGCATTGATCTTGTAACTTCTTCTGACCTTTGTCTTATTGACTTGACCACTATATCTTGACCATTTGTCCTCAGGGTAGTGGTGCACTCTGAATTTATCTCTAAATTTTCGAAACGTATCATCAGATCGAATCAAAGACAGAAAAAATGCATAAGTAAATTTGCTATCAAGTTCGTTGGCAGTGAAAGCCAGAGAAATGTCACTTATTTAGCTCTTCAACAGCGAACTGGATTTGAGCAGGTTAAAGACTGTTTTAGTCGTTTATCAAGGGGGCTGCTAAGAGGCAAGCACATAGCCCTGATGAAGCTACTGTCTATATGGCAAAAGGCCTCGGAAATAAACGGTTCTACCATCAGTTGTATTTGGTGCCCTGAACCGTGAATCGCTCAAACTGCTATCCATAAAATCTGATTTACTTTATTCCGCCGTTTCGGCTTCAGACGTAGAATGCATCTTAAGCGATTTTACAAAAACAGTTAATGTAGAAGCAAATACGCGGGCCAGGTGCATTAATCCTATTAAAAGCCGACTGGTGGATGAACAAAATTTCGAAAATAAGCCGCAGAAAGAAATGAAGCGAAAGAATAAGCATATGCGTAAATCACCGTAGGTGCGGCAACGCTGGTTATGGAAAAAATATTTTTCGCTTTTGCTTTGTGCCATACCGTGGCCATACCATCATCTCCAGAACAAATGATTAACAAATGAAGAACATAAGCTTGATTATAAATGTTAATCTGATCTCTCGGTGTTTGATCCCTTAAGAACTTACTCTAGAAAATACGGCAGTCACTTTTCTTGTCATTCTTTTCTTTTTATGGCTGCATCATAACAGGGTCCTCCAGTTACGCCATGAAAGTGTTCAAATTCAGTATGAGGTAAAGAGTTCCTTCTCACAAACTTAGCGGCATACGTTGAGGACATGCTCCCCTTGAACATCATTATCATTATCCGCCTTTTTCGATCCGCTCCTCGATCAAGACCTCTAACATTTTCCTGCACTATTGCTATGGTTCTTATCCAGCGCGTTGTTCCAACACGTTTCCTTAGAGCGTCATGCCATAAATCTCACAGTTTTCCCAGGGACAGTTTACTCTCATCTCTGTTTTGGTCATAATTTGTAGAAGAATATTTTATGCATATCAAAGGTCATACACACATCCTATCAAATAGATTACTTATTTAAATAATGGCCGGAGGCTCTGTGACTCCGTGAAACCTGGTTTGTGGAAATGAAACGTTGACTACAATAT